GTTTAAATTAACAAATCTTTTAAAAGACAATAGATTCAGCCCAAGACCCACCAATAAATACACCACGTCACTTGACCTTACTGGGGCCCCTACAGATTAGGTCGGTGAGAATTTTACGCATATTTTGGAAATAAGGTCGGCTGTTTTGGTTTAGCAAGAAGCACAAATCACTACCTATCATGTTTGAAAATACATTTGAGTCCTTAACCATGGATTTTTAGTGACTTTACACAACAAAATGCATTGGGTGAGTGATGATTGGAAATATATTCTATAGTATTAGAGAGAAAAATTACAATAAATCTCCACGACCCTATTTCTAAATAGCTTTTTGTCTTCACACTGAGCAAGTTCAGATGATGGCCTTAGTCCTATAATTGAGCGGGAAAATAGTCTAATTTATATTTAAATTTGGTAGTTTTTAAGCTTAATCATTTGTATAATTATTTCTAATGTACTCTATTTTGACTGCATTTGTCTCTTTGGTAAAGCGCATTGAACAGTATTAATTGAAAATGCGCTATTTATTATTATTATTATTATTATTATTATTATTATTATTATTATTATTATTATTATTATTATTATTATTATTATTATTATTATTATTATTATTAGTATTAGTATTATTATAATTATTATCATTATTATTAATAATATTATTATATAAGCACGATATAATATTTCTCCTACGAGATCTGAACCCAAGACCCTCAGGTTACCGTTAAGTATTTCAACTAATCTAGCCAAGCCAATCTTGTATAATCCCTTGAATTTTTCCATTAGGCCAAATCCAATTTGGGAAATACGGGTTTTCTAACAAAAGAAAAAATTATATTTAAATATATTGATAGAATTGCTGTTATTATTGTCTTACACAATACCTTGAGAAAAATGGCCGATCCTAACTAAAATTTCAAGAGGGCATAGAAACTTGGCCCCGTATTTTGTAGAGCATCCTATCGATGATTTTGAACCGATTGTAGGCCTATCAATGTTTTCTCAAAATATAGTTTAGCTGTTGTCTGTAGCTATACTTTTCAAGGATAGAATTTGAGAATCTGTCTTATAGGAAAAAATGCTAGGCTCACTTAAGCTAGTGATTGTTTTTATAATATTTGTTCTTTTTTAAATGGCTGTTTATGTCCGTCATACTGTAGAGTGGCGAATGCAGGAATTATGGGCCCAGAGAGGGACTTTATAGATAGAGGGTCTATATTGCCTCAGCCCCACTATGGTTGGTCCTGAGGGAAAAGCATTTTCTCATTTTTTTTGTTAATTTTGAAAATGGGGGTGGGGGAGGGAGGGAGGCTGCCTCCCACCAGCTCCTGAATTCGCCACTGTTGTATTTTGATTTATTTTCTTATATTTTAATTAAAATAAATTCCTTATAATCAGAGTTCAAGTCCACTTAATTGTTATCTGAATTTCTTTTAATAATAATCGTAATGAACGATTTTTTTATAGGCCTTCAACCAAGCCTCTAATTTGCGTACATTACATTGTGTCTCTTCAGGGCCGTCGAAACCGCACCGGCTTTGACCGGACCAATTTTTCTCAATCCTATTACTTAGTTTAATAAATATATAATGATACCTATATTATGTAACTGTTAATATTATGTGAATGTTAATATTAATGTTATATATTTATCAAAAAATCCACCATGCGCTGGTTTTTGTATTGCCTATGTATATTTCAATTGTTTTCACAATTCTTAAATTTAGTGATTAAGATTGATTTTGAACATGTTTAGAGGTACAAATATAACATATTAATGAAGTGTATAACATTTTGGGTGTTGGGACCGGAAAAACAGCCACCAAGACACAAAGGTATAATGGTCAAGCTGGCCCTAATTATTTGCAATCAAAATTTAAACTCTTAAAGTGAAGGACATTCATTTTTTATTCTAGGTTAGTACTGTTGCCTGGTAAAACACCTTTCCTTTCACAAGAAAATACACTCACGATGCTTACATAAACTAAATCTCAATATGAGGTTTAGGGAGGGAATGGTCGTTAAAAAAATATCCTGCAACACTGAATCCAGGACCCTGGGATTGAAAGGCAAGCATCTTACCACCAAGCTATTCAACTCCCCTATTCAACTCCACACCTGTCTGATAACATCCAAATTATGGTGAAAGCATGCTTGTACTACTGTATATCGTTGACACATCGTCGCCAAAAACATCTTCTAAAATATTTAATTTTGGAATACTGTGTTTCTTCTAAGTTTGGAAAATGTAACATATAGGTAAGTAAAGCGTGTACTATGCCGTACTGTAGTTGAACAAGCCTGCATGCCTACATGCCTACATGGTGTTAGCTTTAATTGCGGCATCCATTGTTGACGTGTTGTTGTTCAGCCCTAAATTGTTATCAGACCGTGCTCTAAAATCGGTTTGTAGAGAGTTCTTTTTATTTATTTTGTAGACAACATAGCAAATCTTAAAATTGAGTCATAATAAAATGGCATTAAACTTAAATGTCAGCGTGAAAAACAATAGAGCTAAAGATTTGTTGTGTAATGACATTCCGTATAGTTTTTGTAGTAGGCACAATGTTTTGCAACCCACACTCATGAATGTAAATCCGAGTACTGTAAAATTAAGTAAAATCATTTAAATTAATTTGGTAAAGTGTAATATTATTTATATAGTTACTTTAAAAAAATCCGTAAATTGCGCTTTAATTTAAATAGGCCTATAGCAATCGCATAAATATACAAATTCAGGAACATAGAATACAGCATAAAGTGATCTTAATGCTGTTAATGTTCAAAATTGTTGTATACGTATACATTTTAATATATTTCCTAAACTGTATGCATTTTTGTTGTTGCTAAATATTCTATACCGATATATATCTGTCTCTTATACACATCTAGATGTGTATCAGACACAGGATTAGTAGAGTGAAAAACGAATGAGTCCTCCATTTC